CCCTCGGGGCCACTGCTCCCCGCCCCGGGCAGCGCGACCCTCAATCGCCTTCCGGAGCCGCTGCTGCGGAGGCTCAGCGAGAGCTTGGACCGAGCGCCCGAGGGTCGGGGTTGGAGGAGGCTGGCCGACGTTGCGGGGAGTCGGGGGCGCCTCCGGCTGAGGTGAGGAGCCTGGGGGCGCAGGGGCGGGGTCACGTGGGGCGCGCTTGGGCGCGGGGCACGGGAGTGGGATGATGGACGCTGGTGCTGGAGAGCATCGGGGCCACAGGAGACGGTGCATGGGCCGCCGACCTGGAAGGAGCGCCGAGGTTAGAACTTGGGGAGAACTTCGGTAATCTTCTAGAGAGAACCTTAACCCAGGAAAGTCCTGGGAATTCGAGAGCTTCGGGATTGGACTCCGGGTGTTCACACCCTTTTCCCTTGCTCCTCCCCTTGAGCTGAAAGAGAGAAGTCGAGGTTGACCTAGCAAGATACCGATAGGGCAGTAATTCCGAAAAACTTAAAATGCAAACTAACGAGATGTGGACACTGACCAGGAAGACCTAAGGAAGGTTAGGAAGAAGTGCAGATAATGAAAGGGAAGAGTTTTGGGTGCAGGAGTTCATGAGGGTTTTTATGTAGGGAGAAGGATGGTGGGGAAGACAAACTAAACTCACCATCTTCCTCCGTCAGAGCCACTTACCAAGTTCTCTTCTTGACTTCACCATGAGCATTAAATTATAGGTAAAACTATTTTCCTATTCTCAGGCTTGGAATCACTGTACTAATGGTTCTTGAACTCTTCGTCTCAGACTCCTTTAAACTTTTAATTATCGAGGACCCCAAAGAGTTTTGGACGTGGGTTCTATCTATTACATACATGTAGTATATGCTGCATTTACCATATTAGACTTTACAACTAAGAAGTTTTTTAAATATTAACTTATTTTGAAAGAACTCATTACATATTAACAGAAATTACATGCTTTTGTGGAAAAACAAACTTTTCCGAAACAAAAAATTAGAAAAGTGGCATTGTTTCACATTTTGTAAATCTGTTTAATGTCTTGGCTTAATTGCAGAGAGCTGACTGCTTTTACGTGCCTCTGCATTCAATCTGTTGCACTGTCACAGGTCATTTTTAGCTTTTCATATGACTAAACTTTGTCTTGTACTGTAATTATTTGTATACTTCTTTATAAACTCATGGAGAACAGGAACCATAACTTGAATCTGTGTATCATGCACGGAACCTATCTTAGACACTCTAAATATTTTTGAATTGTGAGGGGAAACATTCAAAGTTATATTTATTGAGTGCCTATGATTTGCTAGAAGTTCCAGAAGATAGAAAGATGACAGATATTCAGCTCCTATTCATAAGGACTTATCAAGTAATAGGCTGTCATTCTGAGACATTCACAAATACATGTTAAGTGCTATGTTGGGTGTGAATAATGATAAAAATTTTGATCATTTGTTAAGCCCTTAGAATATACTAACATACTGAGTGTTTACGTGGATTATCTACTTTAACCCTCTCAACCTTGAGTTTCAGAGAGTTTGGGATTAAACCAGAATAATGATGATTTGGGATTATTTGGCCATACAGAGGAGTAACAGTAATAGCATGGAATCAAGAAGTGGTAAAGTTGCAAAATTGAGCAGACAAATGGCATAATTTTTTTCCGTTCTAGGAAAAACACATTGTGCTTTCGGCTGTGCAAAGAAGATCCAAAATACTGTTATTCTAGGTCCATAGATTTCAGAATTTCTAGACTTACAATAATGTAAAAAGTTACCTTCTTTGGGGGTCAGATCACCAGATCTGTGATTGGTTAATTCATGATATTAACTAGTACTCTAGTTAGGGAAGGCTCTGGGTTTTCCAGAGAAGGCCTGGTAGTAAGGACTTCTATTTGGTGATGAAGGAGAGAGAAGGAAGCAAGGCCCTGCCACTGCAGAAGCGTGGCTGTTGGAATTTAAAAGTAGTGGATACCCTATATCGGGTGTTCAGTTTTCTTCCCCAAGCCTTCAGTCATGTTTTGTTCAAGGCTACAGATGGTGTTAGCTTTCTTTGGGAGAACTAACAAAGTTTGCAGGCCACATTTCTGGTGGAGCTAGTATAGACAGAAGGGCAGTTGCTTAGCAAGAGATGACAAACAACAAAGGGCATGCATTTGTGGAATCTGGGAATTTCACGGTGGGAAGTCTGATGAGAGACAGGTGGAGTTTCACCAGTCTTCCGGGATGCTGAAGGTCAGTTTGTAGGAGGTTAGTTGTGGTGAGGAGAGTCGGGGCGCCCTGAAGGTTGGAGAACTGAGGAACATTAAGCTCGTGTACCTATTGAAATCAGAATTAAACTGATGTGACAAAAGGTTAGCGCTGGGAACTTGGGGGCTAGAGAGTGACGATGGCGGGTAGGGGGCGGCGCGAGGTAAGGCTTCCTGTACTTAAGATAAAAGTTATTTTAAAGTCATTTCATACCAAGAGCAGAAGAGCACCTCTGATAGTAGAAGGTCCTAAAGGTATTCTTCTCTGATGTCAAACCCGAGAATTGTAGCGTGAAAGTGGATAACAGTTCTCATGAGGATGTGGGGACCTTTCCTCAGAATCACTGGATTCATAGCCCCAGCATCTCAAAAGTTTTTGCTTATTCTATTTATTTTCGCTTTTTATGACTCTGTATGTCTCCTCAAACTAGATGAGAGTCAAATAAATAAACCAGACGAGTTTGTACTGAGCTATCCATCCAGGATTAGGAATAAGTTTGAATATTTTCAGATGTTTATTGATGACCCAGAATAAATCCTTGCATATGGTAGCTTAGTTTCCCACAACCACGTACATATGAGAATGCCTGAATACAAACTCAGCCCTAATTCCATTTCAAACTGATGTCATATTGAACACCCTTTGCTGTCAGTGTAGATGGGCACAGGTACTGAGTGTCTTGCCCAAGCTACGTGAACTTCTTGGTGGCGTGGAACACGGGAGCCCCAAAGATAACAGAGCTTCGGGGAGGTTCTAATGCTGCCTAAATTCCGTGGAAAAGGGACCTTAGAAATGGGGCTATGGGACACAGACCAAGGAAAACGACCTGTCATGGGTACCCACTGTACAGAAGGTGCTCTTTTAGCTGCAGAAATCCTGACCTCAGGGAGTTCGTGATAGGAATGAGAAGGTGTGAAAGGCTGAAACAAAAGCTTCCCTCCTGTCTCTACCTCCTCGTCTCTACCTCTGCAATCTCTGAATTTCGGAGTAGCTGAGGGCTCAGGCTTTGTGTCTCTTTATCCACACTTTACCCAGTCCCGTTGGTGTTAATCCTTTCGCCTCATGACCTTACATAGCTTTTGGTTGATTACTCTCGGTTCCTATCTTCAGTCCATATCTTTGCTTTGAACTCCAGGATTCACGTCCTGGGAGGGACGCCTGTTTGCCATCTCCTCTTGGATGACTCACAGACATCTTCAACAGAACATCTTTCCCCCTGTAAGCCTTTTCTTTCTCTTGCAGTTTTCTGCATCTCAGTAAATGGCAACTATATCCCCCCAATTTTTCAGGTCAGAAACATTCAAATCATTCCTGACTCCACTTTTACACACCACACCCATTTTCTCAGCAAATCCTGTCCCCTGTCTCTTCAGTACAGATCTAAAATCCAGCCTCCGTGGCTACAACACAGGGCCTTGCCACCATCATCACCTCTCACCTGGGTTATTCCGATGGCTGCCTAACTTCGTCTCCTGCTTTGCCCCACCCCTGTGTGCTCTCAATATATCAGTAAGAATGATTCTTTTCAAATGGTGAATCAGATCTTATCCTTCCTCTGCTCAGAGCCTTCCAGTTGCCGTTCCATTTCAGAGTGAAAACACCTTTTGGCGACCAGTTAACTCTTGGCCCTGATTCCCTCTTACGCGCCCCCCGCCCCCCGGCTGTAGTCACACCTGCTTTCTTGCTCTTCCTCCTGCATAGTAAGTGTCTACTGAGCCTGAGGTGGTCTCCACAGGTAACCACATGACTTGTTCCTTCACCTCGTCAAGTATTTGCTTGAAAGTCACCTTCTCAGTAAGTCTTCTCTGATCGCATTATTTAAAATTACTCCCAACATCCGCTCCAGCATTACCTTTCTCCCTACTTTGCCTATTTTTCTCCAAAGCACTTATAACCATTGAGTGTGTGTGTGTGTGTGCATGTGTGTGTGTGTGTGTGTGTGTGTGTGTATCTGTCCATCTATAGAAAAATTCAGGAGGATAGGGAATTTCATTTGGCTTGCTGCTCTATCTTCCATACCTAGGGAAAAAAGCCGGCCTATTTTAGGTGATTAGTAAATAGTTGCTGAATTAAGGAATGAAGATTCTAAAAAGTAAATGTACCAAAAAGAGAAGCTAAAGAACTTAAAAACAGTGCCATGGTTTGTACCCCAATGGGTGTATAATATGTTCTATTTGATTAAACTTATTTATTTATTTTTTTGGTGACATTGGTTAACAAAATCCAGTAAGTGTCAGCTGTACAATTTCACAGTAATGATTATATATTTTTTAAAGTAAAGATAAATATAGATATATTTTTAAAAAGCAAAGTCCATTTGATTCAGCAATAGTCTTTTAAATTAAATCAGAAATTCCAAGGTACGGCTGGTAGAAACCACTTCAAAGTAGTCTTACAGGAATATAACTAAAAAAGGAAATAAATAAAAGTTAGGTTCGTATGTGCATCATCTTAGCTGAAAGCCAGTGCTCATGCGGAAAATCAGTAAAAGGAAAAGAGATACAGAAACTTGTTTTCCTCCTGTGCCTCGTGTTTCGGAAGAGAAATCATTATCTAGTTCAATTTGATCTTTATTTGGGTGGGAAAAAAGACATTGTTTTTTTCTATATCAGTATAAACTTTAATTAAGGCATCCTTTGATTGCATTTGACAAGAAGGCTTCTTAATTTCATGTATCAGATCCTGATAACCTTTCTAAATCATAAAAATTATATTTAGCATATAGCACCCTGTTTTTTTAATCAATCTCATATTCTCATTATTTGCAAAATTGGTAATCCTTATATTGTCTCTGATAACTGGTTCCTTGATCTGGGCATTACAAGGACTAGTAAAAGAAACGTTCATAAAATAAGGACCAACAGGCATCTTCAGCTTTTGTTTTTGCTACCATTGTAGTCACCATTGTTTCCTCAAAGAAGGGACACTTAACCACTTAAAAAAATAGAAAAGACAATCTTTGAGTAAAAGACAGTCTTCTTATCCTTATTTTTATCATTTTACAATGGACTTTAGATTGTGCTGCCAGTGGTCTGCAGTCCAGAATTTGAGATTGGATGATTTGTATTATGATGATTCACATTTAGCAAGAATAGAGTAGTGAATATACAAATGTCATGAGGATACTTAGAAAAGAATACTTAGAAAAGAATACCTACTTAATATCGTCAGAGGAGGCTTGAAGGACATTATCAGGTACTAAATAGTGGCTACTCAAAACATTTTTAAGGAAAAGCTAAAACAGTTTCAGAAATAAACATAATTAAGAAATTAACTTTAATATTCTTTGGATATCTCCATATTTTTATTGCATAAGAAGAGCTTTTATCGAGTTATTACTGTGCTAAGTACTTGTTACATGGATTATCTAATTCTTACAACCCTACAAGATAGATACTATTATTGAAATTATTTTGGTTGGATACATTTTTTATGAGATAACCAGCTTTATCACAGAATTATAAATGTTGGGTGACCATTATATCAATACTGTAAAATGGCAGCCTTTTAGTGAAACTGATGAAAATAGATTTGAATTAAGAATATTTCAAGTCAGATGAAAGCTTTCTAACCTTGACTCTGCCACACCTATGGTACTGTTATGTTTGACACCTTCCACCTGTCCAGGTTTCCAGGCTTTTCACTTATGATTGAAATTCATTCCATAATCATTCAGTATGAATAACCAATATGGGCAAGATATATTTTAGATATTGAGGGATTAAATATATGTATGTATGTACATATATGACGGGGTTTCTGTTGTCAAGGTACTGTACTAAGTCTAGTTGGGTAGAGAAGACATGCTTATGAAATAAAAGTTCATGGTTTAAAAAAAAACATGTCAAATAAAACATGTAGATCAGGGGTCTACAAACAACAGCCCATGGGACAAATTCAGGCCACTGCTTGGCTTTGTGTAGCTTATGAGCCAAGAATGGTTTTTATATTTTAAAAACTGTTAAAACAAAAAACAAGAAGAAATATGTAATAGATACTATATGGCCCATAAAGCCTAAAATATTTACTCTCTGGTACTTTAAAGCAAAAGTTTGCCAGCCCGTGGTGTGTAAGATAAACACCATTAGGAGACTGTGGCTAAAGTGTGTTTGATGGATTAGGATAGTCTGGGGGAACCTCACGGAGCAGCTAGAGTTTGTACTGGATTGTAATGCAAATTGGCAGGAGAAAAAATAATAAGTTAATTAATTTTAAAGATTGGCAGGAAAGGAAGAAGTGTCTGCAAAGGTGAATCAGGTCAAATTCAGCAGTGCATCAAGCAGAGATTATCTAAAGGTTTGGGTTGGCCTTTGTTGTTACGTCTCTTCAGGATGGTTGTTTTGATTGTTTGATTTTATTTTTCTCCTCTTAAATGTTTCCTGCTTGCACTTTTTCTTCCTGTGATATGATTGAAATCCAGATTCTTTGTCCCATTACTTAGGGACTTCTACAGTCTGATCTTAACCTGTCTTTCTAACCTTGTTTAGCACTACTGAACACGATAACGTTGAAAAGCACATTGTATGTGTATGTTAGATAACGATACAAAGAAAAGGATAGATTCTTTAGAGCAGGGGACAGCCGACTTTTTCCATAAAGAGCCAAATAATAAATATTTTCATTGCAAACAAACTACTTAGCTCTGCAGTTGTAACAGGAAAGCAGCCATGTACATTTATGGATGTGTCTGTGAATGAGTGTAGCTGTGTGCCATTAAAACTGTTTACAGAATCAGGTGACTGGATGGGTTTGGCCCACTGCCCCCTGTATTAGGGTGTCTCTAGGCACTTAGAGGTACTTTGAATGTCAATAGCACTGCTTTTATTTTATTTTTTTTAATTGTTGAAAAAATGGGTGCACATAGTGAAAAATTCAATAGTACAGAAAGCTTTATAGTGAAAAATGAATCACCCAGCCATGAGCTCTGCTCCCCTGGTTTCCCTTTCTGGGGCAACCACTGGTCCCAGTTTCTTGGCTATTTTTCAGTTACTGTGCATAGATAAGAACAAACACATATTCTTGCTAATAAAAATAGTATCATGTAGAACATTGCTCTGTATCTCACTTTTTTCATATGAATATAGACAGACACATTACTTTGGTAATACAAAATACTATATGTTAATTCTTTTCATCTTTCAGCATGTCTCAAAGGTCTCTACCTCTTCTTTTGGATCTTATACTTTATGTTCTTACAAAAGGAGTAGAAAAATGTATCTGATCTTCCTATTCCCTATTCCCAAATTAAAAGTAAAAATTTTGATCAAAATCAAGGCCGGATTTCTCTAATGTCCAGTTTCTAGTTTTCTCCCATTCTCCTGATTTCGCAGTCATGGGAGTCGAGTTAGAGATGGGAATAAAGAGGAATCATCTGTAATGACAGGAGGGGGTGGGAAGCACGGTCGCATTCGTAATGCGAATAGTTTTTCACCACTCAGCAACTTGCCATTTATTCCTTACAACACCTACGATGGCGCCAGGCATAGAGTGGGCATACCATATTGAAGAAAATTGCTGACTTGAATTAAATCTGTTATTTTCAGCTGTCTGGACTTGGAGCAGTGTTCTCTTAAGGTCTTGGAGCCTGAAGGAAGCCCAAGCTTATGTCTGTTAAAGCTAATGGGTGAAAAAGGTTGCACAGTCATGGAGTTAAGTGACTTCCTGCTGGCTATGGAGCACACTGAAGTTCTTCAGCTTCTCAGCCCCCCAGGTAGGTTTGGCCCCTGGGTGTGTTCTCCAGGAGTCCATGGAGACAAACTTGGCGGGAAATATCTCATTTGACCAGATGAATTGTGTGAAATATCTTTGGAAAAGGTAAATGTGTGGAGCCTCATTTTTTCCCCAGGCTAAGACTAAAGAACACATGAAAAGCAAATATAATGCACAAACAATGACTGGATTGTGCTTCAAAAAAATCAGCCGCACAAGGCATTTTGGAACAAGTAGAATAATTTGAATATAAGCTGCATATTTGATATTATGGAATTATCATGTGATAACGGCTTAGTTCTGTAGAAGAATGTCTTTATTCCAAGGAAACGCATGCTAAAGTATTTAAGGGTAAGATTTCTGTGACTTAGGTTGAAATAGTACAGCCAAGAAAATAAATATACACATATTTATTTATTTATATGTATGTATGTAAATGAGATAAAGCAAGTATGACTAATATTTATTGTTTAAGTTTTTTGCCAATGTGATATTTTTGAAATGTTGAATGACTCAACTGAATGGGTTTTTTTTCCCCCGAATATACCAGTCTGGAGTGAGGTTTCTCACTTCCAAAGGCAGGTGTGAGGAATAGGACACAGTCCCTCCTCTCCACAACGACAGATAGACTTGGTCAACTACGGCAGTGTCAGGCAGGAGGGGCCAGGTCATCTAAGTCATCTGATGACAGTAGCACCCAGACCTCCTTTCTCAGAGGCCCACTTTGCCATGACAGGCCCCCCTAGAAGCAAAGAAGCCATAATAATATGTTTAAGTTAACCTGGGGAACCTAAAGTTATAATTTTGTGTATAATTGTGTTAAAAAAATTAGTTTTTACTTTGTCCATTCTGGGATTGGGAAATTAAGGGCACATGGGAGTGGTATGCTATCAATTACATGTACCAGAAACCCCAACTCATATTGGCATAGTAAAGGGAACATGTTAGTCCTTCTAACTGAAAAATCTTGAAGCAGTTTGGGCTTCAAGAGAGGAAGCGGGGAACAGCCCTGTCTCTAGGGGTTGGTTTATTTCCATCTTTGCTCTTCCCCTCTTGTCACTGGCTTCCCCCTAAGACTGACTTTCTGCATAGGCACAAAATATCTACTGGCTGTTCTTGCATTCATCTTTGTCTGGGCAAAAATCGTAAGATTCACTCTAGTTAACTGACTTTGGTCACATGCCTATCTGTACACCTGTCACTGTGGCCAGGGAGATAGCTGAATTGCCTGGCTTAGAGCCAGGAGTAGAGTGGGTGGAGTCAGCTTTCCAGAAACCACATCAAACAGATCCCCACATGGATCACCAAACAAAAGTGGACCAGTTGGAAGGAGAAAGCGGGTAACAGATGCTGGGAAGGTAACTAAAACTCTATTACAATTGGAAAGGTTATGAGGCAGGGGACTTGGACTCTCAGATTATCTTCTGCTTTACAAAACCCAATGTAGGCGATTAAATAGGCCTCCTATAAATGCCTTCCTTGTGTTACACACTGTGCTGGATGCTCGACGTATGTTTCTCAGCCTCTTCACCATAAGAGGATCGGGGTAGGAGTAACCAGCTGTAACGCAGACCCCCTCTGCATAAAATTTGTTGTCTGTCGCCAATCAGTAAACTACTTCTTAAGGGGACATTTATTTATTTTTATATCCCCAGTGCCTAGAATAAGTACCCAGACATTGTGACGATTGAAATCTGCCAGTCTAGGGCACTCAGCTGCTAAGTTCTCATACTTAATAGAATATCAGGGCCTTTGAAAATTTAAGAAACTTCTCTGGGAAGTAAATAAAACTTGTATATCTCATTATCCTTTTCAGTAATTACACTTCATTACTCTGACCATTGGTTGCCAATTCTAAACTGAGAGTAAGTGTTCTCTACCGCTCAGAGTTTTAAGAGTGTCATGAAATGATGCTGTATTGAATTGGCACCGCGACGACAGGAGGGGCCCTGTCATGTCATTATTTGTAGCGTGACCACTGGCCTGAGATCTAGGGTATCCAAATTTTCAGTTTCCCATGTATGAAACTGGGCTTGAGTGAAATTGAGTCACGTACTTCTTTATGTTTAGCCTGAAATTTTCAACAATATATTTTGATTTTTTGACAAGCCGGTAACAAATACAGTGCCATCCTAATAAACATCAGTAACCTTTCGAAAAATTTACTTCTGCTTTTTGTGTTTTTCTCCAAATAGGATTAGCACTTTTCTGTCAGTGTTCTTCTGTGGAGCTCATTCTCATATTTGGCCAATAGGCTTTTTCAGAGTTATTCACTGGGACTTTTTCACATTTGAGGACAGACTGGGAATAGGAAATCAGTTTCTACAATATTGCTCTGCACTGTTTCTGTGAAGTTTTATGTCATATTAACCGTAGTCCATTAGGAATCAGTTATTACTTGAATGTTAATTATTGATTCAAGAGGAAATATTTTGGCATCTGGTAAAGCTCAGTAATTTCAGGAAGAAACAATTTACTGTTAGCTTTCTGTCTGCATTTTATTTGGAAAATCGAAAACACCATATTTACGGATATTAGAATACAGAAATATAGGAATTATAGAGAACGTTGAGAATAAAAAGTACCGTAATTATATTAAGAACATAAGCTCTGATAGACCGAACATAATTTGAGATTTTGCTCTTCTGTTCAATAAACTTTTGTTGTATTCCAATACCTTTGCTATTCCAGGCATTGTGCTTGGTACTGTGAATTCAAAGAGAACTAAAACAGTAGTTTCTGCCTGTTGAAAGTTCATCATCTAGTAGGGAAGACAAACCTATAAATGTTCACATCCAATACAGTCATAAAAACAAGTATGTATAGAGTAAGTTCTATCTCATTTCCAGTTTTTGCTTTTCAGTATATTCGCGAATCTTGGTGAAAATACTAACTAGAAATACTCTAATGTTTTCTCTCCTTTTTGTAGTAATGCAGTTTCATAGGAGGACATTTCTCCATCCACAGAAAGTCCAATGATTTTTCTCTGTCTTTATAGAGAGGTCTGGTTTGGGTAAGATGAGTTTTGTCAAAGACTCTGTGAACCTGTGAACAGGCCTTTCACACCTGTCTGCAGGGAGAAGAGGAAACTTTAGATTTCTCTTAGTCTTATTTTGCCATATTCCATTCCAGTTGTTTGTGAAATGACAGCCAGAGAGATAGCCACAGGCAGTGGCTGTAGAACGGATTTTCTGTTTTTGAGAAACTGACCGAGTTTCTTTTATGTAATTTTTTGGGTAACCCAGAAGTATTGGGGTTTGTGTTCCCCCATCTCTTAACTGGATAGAGTCCATTGCTTAGGAGCTGACTTCAGTTAGCATGAGTCCGAAGCAGAGAGTACCTCGCCCCCTGACCCTGGCTCTCTCTGTGGGTTCTGACGCCTGATACGTTTTCTGAAGCAGCACCGCAGGCCTGAGGTGTAACCCTCTTCTGCTTTCTCTCTAATTGAGCTTGCCCCTCACGGGTTGGCCAACTTGCCCCTCAGTCTGGTCCTGCCTGCACTTTATTTTAGAGAAATTGCCTGTAGTTTTTATGTTTGAATGGTTGTCCATCCCCATTTTCCAGCTCTGATTATTTCCCTATTTTTTATTTTTTTGGTCATCTCAGTGGGAATTGGAAGGGGGTGGGGGCGTGAAATGAATGTGCTGAAATTATTTGAACCAAAAGTCCATAAAGATTTTTTAGACCTTTGCTCTTTTCATTAAAGGATCAAAAACCCTGTTCCCAAAGCAACCGACGTTGACGTCTGTATCCTTGAAAAATGTGGATAAACGTAGATGTGCAGTTCAAGATGTTTTTACTTGTGTCTTCTGTTTTAAGTGAAAACATTTCGAGTACACATTTATAGGCTCTGTCAGTTGGAGTTATGTAGATCACACAATGGTTGCCCAGGAAGCGATGCCTTGACCAGGAATTGGTTGGCAGAGACTAGACAATGGGGGATGTTTAGAGAGAATTAACATTTTATATGTGGCTTCCATTAGATGAATCCTAAGGTTCCTTCCAACTCTGATTTTGTGATGTGGCCGTTTTATTTCACTCCTCATAGAAAAGGTGCTTCGCTCCCTGTCCGTCTCAGAGGGCAGGGGCAGAGTCACATGCAACCCCTTCGGTGGCACCTTTTCCATTTGCCCCGCCCCCCTTTTTGTTTTATATCACTTTGCTTTTTAATCTCTTGCGGCACATTCCTTGGTAAGTTTCCGATACCAATTTTACTTTTTATTACTTTTGTCTCTAAGACAAGAGCAAGGATTGGTATTATTCTTTAGTATCCACGATACCTTCACTTCACGTCGTATCGTCACAGTTTTGTGAAGGAACAGAGCAGTACCAGTATGAACATTTAAACTTCAAACGTGAGCCAACATATTTGTGAAAAATGAGGTTTCCAGAAGTTGTCATTTAGCCAGAGTCACAGTTGTCAACAAACGTAGTTTAGACCCCAGGTCGGCTGACCTTGAACTGAACTCAGTAGCATTTTCATAATGCTAGGAAATTTCTGGGTTGTTCGAGAAACCTAGTTATGGGTTTTTACCTCAGCTGCCTCTTTGACCCATGGACTTTAATTTTTGGTCCTTGCCAAATTAAAAAGTATTTAAATACTAGATCTTATTTATAAGGGACTTTTTCGTTTGTTTCATGAGCGACAGACGCTTTGGAAGGAAAATATCAAGAAATGAAAAGGGGCAAAGGCAGTGTGGATGGGAATAAGGATAAGGAAGGAGCAAAGAGGTAGGAATAGTAGATGAAATTCGAGAGAATGTGTCTCAGCTCCAGCATGTCCACGGTCACTGGGCCACGCAGGAGATTAAGGGATCTGATGAGACTGGATTTAGCCACAGTAGGTACAAATGTAAATGGACTTGTAAGAGAGACAGACATACGTGGACATACTTTGGTTGTATAATGGAGGAGTTTGTTGCAGAAAGAGGGATGGTTATTTATTCTGAGACACCGTGGGAACTTTTCAATGATAGCTTAGAAATTTTTGGAATAACTTTGAGAGTTTTAGATGGAAGCTGATGGAAAAAATTTTTTGGTTTATGGCTCCTGAAAATAGATTCACTGTAATGTATACACAAGATGGGTCCCTGGAAAAACTGTTTGTAAATTACTTCAATATTTAAGTGCATTGGGAGAGAGAATAACTTAAGAGGAACCTATGATGGATCCTTTCATCGAGAATCACCTTAACTTATCTGTTCTGAAATTCCAGCGGGGTCTTTATTTTTGCCGTTTAGTATCACATATCTGTAATCTGCATAGGTGTGTGTCGAAAGCACAGTCCTCACGTTCCATCACACCTCGTCACATTCTCCCCGGCTTACAGGAAAGCACGAAACCTCTTTGACTTTGCAGATATTATCAGAAAATAGGCTTGTTTGCCAGGAAGCTGTGCATTCACCCTTTACAACAGAACTTTCATGTGTAAGCCGTGGTCCGCCCTCCACAGCACTGTGCCACCTTCTGTCCTTACCTTTGTTCAGCACCTTCTGCCTGGTGGGTGCTGCAGGAGGGTGGTTGTAGGTTGACCAAGGTTCCCTGTTGCACAGCACTATGTAGGAGGAAGGAAATACGTGTGGTTAAAATATGGGAGGTATTGCGACTTCTCTTCTTTACAACTCATTAGGAGCGGTTTCCAAATCACATTTTTCCTTTCAATTCTCAGTCTTTGAAGTAATAAGTAATAAATACATGCATTTGCTTGCTTGTTGACGACTAGACTGCTAACATCGTTGGTCCAGGACACATGTATAAACTTTGAGTTCGAACGTACATTAAAAAGAATTTAGTCTTGTCACCCACACAAAGGAAGGGTACCTTCAGACCGTCCTGGCCACATGGGCCCTTTCCAGTAAAGTCATCCATCCCTTTGTGAGACACTCAGGGAGAAAGCCTTTTAATTTCCATCATTCTTGTCTCTTGTCTCTCTGGATAACAGCAGAGAGTAACTTGCCTTGGTAGATTTGTAATCACTGTAATGGCACAAGATACTGCACTCTGCCTGGCATGCCCCCTTCAGTGAGAGAAGTGCACCGTGGCAGAAGGTGGACTTGGCATGGGAGGTGCATGAAGGGTCACTGGCGAACGATGGCGATGTGAGGTGGCACACGTGCTAGTTAACTTGCTTGTGGTAATCACCGCACGGTGTGTGTGTATGTTAATTATCATTGTTGTACACCCTGAATATATACTTTTATTTGTCCCTTACACCTTAATAAAGTGAGGAGGGGAAAAAAAGGGTCAGTGAGATGACAAAAATAAGAGGGTTTTAAAGCCTAAGAAAACCTGTGTTTGTATCTGGTTTTGCCATTTTACAATGAAAAAAATTAGTCTCAGGTTAAATAATTTATCCAAGGTAATTTGGGTGACCTTCTGCAAATTGCTTAACTTCATTTTCTTCATTGTAACAGATCTAATTAATATCTAACTCATATGGTTATTTTGTAGGTAGGAGATCAAAATACTTGGCACATTTAAAAGTCGGTAAATTGCTATAGTAATAATAATAATTTTTTTTGATTTGCCTTCATTCTACAAATACGTGTTGAACACCCACTGTATCACCATATGCAGGCATCATTCTAGGCATCAGGTAAACCGATGACTAAGACAAAACAATGTGGTCTTTGCTCTGTGGAGCTTCTGTTTTAGTAGGTAGGACGGACAATAAGAAGCAAGAATTTCGGGTGATTAATGCAGTGGAGACCACAGAACAGGATGAATGTAACAGGACCAGGGAGGGAGAGTAGCTAACTTAGAGATGTTTCTCAAAGAAGCTAAAGACCTAGACACTGAGAAAGAAAGCATCTGCCTTGAAACAGTGAGGGGGCTGGAGGGAAAATCCAGCAGAGGACTAGTAAGTGGGAAGGCAGAAAATAGCTTGTCTTCCAAAGGAAAGAAGTCCAAAGCATCTGGAGCAGGATTAGCCAGGAGGAGAATGGTAGGGGACGAGGTCAGAGAGGTCATTTCACGCAGAGCCTTGTGGGCCATGGTAAGGGGTTTGAGTTTTCTTTTGAGTATAATGGGAGGTCAGTCGAGGGTTTTAATCAGAGCAGTGACGTGGATTAATTTATGCTTGAAAAAGCCATTGGGGCTGCCGTTTGGAAGTGAGGAAACAAGTTCGCAGGCTGTAACGATGGTTTAGTCAGCTGACGGGGGCTTGGATTAAGATCGTGGCATCCAAGATGGCGAGACATGGAAACGCGTAAGGGACAGGACTTGCAAATAAATCGCTCGTGGAGAATGAGGAAGCAAAGAGGAGGGATTCAGGGATGATTGCTAAATTTCTATCCTGAGTAACTAGACATGTGGGGGTGGGCTGGAAACTGGTTTTTCCTCCCTGAGATAGAGAACACTGCAGGGTCTAGTGGAGGGGTAGGTTTTGTTCAAGAGAGATTTGGTGTAAGTTGGGTTCGAGATGACTGTGAGACATCTACATTTTAAAGCCAATTTAGCCACACCCACTAAATCACCATATAGTTCAGATTTATTGTTCCCTTCTGTTGTTGCAACTTTTTTCCCTCTTACCACATCTAGACTTTGAAAATCAGAATCTTTGTATCTTGAAGTTGCGACGTAAGTCTCTCCTGGCAGATGAGTGGTAGATGGGAGCATTAAAATGCCCTGTCGTGAATTTGCCAGCTTAAGCAAGAGTGATCATCCCATTTTCTGATGTCACCAGGTACTTTCCTGCCAACATGTATTACAGAATTCACAGAAACTGTTACTCCATCCACCCTGTATTAACTCGGCGTCAACATAAAGAATTAATGACTGTGAAAGCTCTGCCTCGGCAAAAGTTTTAAATTCTTTTTTTGAGAGGCTCTAGTCACTAAAGATTTTCTAGGGTTTCTCCAGACCCTTAAAATGTAATAGGTATGCAATAAGCATTTACTCGTTTTGGATTTTGGTATCTTTTTCACATATAGAGAGAGTTTACCTTATCTACTGTTTTTTTCCTTAGAATATTTGATACCTTTGATGTATTCAGATTGTTATTTAGATTGACTCTTCAGTTGTAGTCTTGTTTTCCTTTGGATTGGTGGGTTGAGAGGAAAAAGATAGTTATGAGATCATAGGATAGAAGAGGAAAGGAAATAAAAGTAGGTTCAAGAAATTAAGCTTTATAAATAAGTTTCGGTGATCTTTCCTCCTCTCTTCCTGAAAGCCAACCAACCCAATTTTATGTGTTACAACCTTGGCAAATGTAAAATTTCCAAACTTTGGTTTCTTGTGTGTCAGTTATCTATTGCTACGTAACAGATTACTCCCAAACCAACAGCTCAAAACAACATTTATTTACTCACATGCTTTCTGAGGCTAAGAATCCAGAATTGGCTTAACTGGGTGGTTTCGGCCTGCAGTGTGATGGCAGTCAAGCTGTCAGCCAGGGCCGTAGCCATCTGAAGGTTAGACTGGGTTCAGAAAATCCCCTTTCTCAGATGGTTTATTCACATGGCTGTTGGCAGGAGGCCCAAGTTTCTTTCCTTATCATTTGGGCCTCTCCGCATCCTCATGACATGGCAGCAGGTCTCCCCAGAGACCGTGATGGAGGGAGAGGCGGGAGGGAGGGGGAAGGCATTCCATTATTGGCTCCAGGATTTTCTTTGAAACTCCTGTCAAAAGTTTCCCAAGTTTCCATGCTTATAGTCAAATGAAGAATGTTTGCATCGCATGTATCAAATTTATATCCTGCTGTTCTGTTTCTGTTGCCTTTCTGCTTACAGAATAACTCATTGTAATACTAAATGATAGCGTTGAACTTCAGATGTCTTTTGTAGGCATTTTCAGCGGCCTTTCAACTTAACACCTGTCTTACTAACAGTGCACTCACTCGGTTGAAGCACCGGCCACGTGAGCATTTATGACCAAGTATTGGAAGAGCTGGCAGTGAGCCCGGCACGACTACTGTTGCCTGGCAGACATCTGCCATAAGGCGCATCCTGATGTCAGACGCGTGAGAGTGTGGAAACAATGTTTCTAAGAACTGAAGAAATGTGACAAACAATTTTCTCCCCCAGTTGTGGGAAGTAAATAGATCAAAGTCTTCTGCTGGCGAGTTTCTGTCTTCCTGGTTTTACAAAGCCTGGAACTCACATACTCATCACCTTGTGGGGAAAGAGATGTGAATGGGTGATTTATAACAAGGATGAATATGCAGGTTCTTTCCAAAGTACTCCTTTTTTCACTTTCAGAGATGTAAACAAGGAAAACCCCTCTTCTATTACTTTATTTATTTAACTTGTTTTCTTTAAAGGAATAAAGATCACTGTAAACCCAGAATCAAAGGCCGTCTTAGCTGGACAGTTTGTGAAATTGTGTTGCCGAGCAACTGGACATCCTTTTGTACAGTATCAGTGGTTCAAAATGAATAAAGAGGTAATTTTTTAAATGTCTTTTAATTCCTCTGTCATAAAAAGATAGAATGATGGAAAATTAAGTAGCATTATTAGCTTTAGTATGTTTTTAGGGATTTTGTTCTGATAGGCATTTCTGTGTTATTACTGAAGTATTCAGTAATCATTATTTTGTTAAGAGAATTCCAAAATTGTCTTAACAAAAAAATTGTAAGCAATAATAAAACCCATTCTCTCCTCTAAAAACTGTGGAAAATAAGCATTACTTGGGGCAACAGTGGTAACAAATCACCAGTATATCCTTACAAAGTCCTTTACAACAAATTATGTTCCAACCAGACTCTTTAATTAAAAGACTTTAAAGGCGACAGCAAAGGCCAATGCAATATTATTTTAAGTATTTCACATAACTATTGAAAAAGTTAGGCTGTCGTGAGATTCTGAAGTAAAATTCAGGTGTGGGGGGCATTTATTCCTTTTGTGGAAGTATTGTAACCCTGCATCACCCAATACAAAATTTACAGTCACGTGCTAGGATTCTCTCTTCTCAAAAGTTCTTTGAGCCGCTCTGCCACTGAGGAGTTCTCACTGGTCTGGCCGGCCGTGCTCTGTCCCACTCAGTGGGCTTCTCTCCTCCCTCATCCACCTCCCCTCGCCCGCTTCCCTCCTAGATCATACTTTGAAACTCCGTATTCTTTTTAGCCTGAGAGTCAGATAATTAACCTTTCTTCCTCACTCAGCCATAGTCTACATTTGCAAACCTAAAGCTAAGTTAGAGTCGTTCTGAGATGATGAGCTTTCTTTTAATGGGGTCACCCTATGCCTTAGAAGAAATGTGTGGTTTCATACAGTCTTATTTCCAGCTCCCCACCACCACCACCAACACACACACACACACACACACACACACACACACGCGTAAGGAGCAGCTACGAAATGTACCAAAAAGACGGCATGTAGGCCGTGGTGCCAGACAGGCTTGTGTTGGAACGCTGGCTATCGCTCTGAGCGATGTGAATGCCTGTCGCCGGGATCGTGAGAGTTTAGCAGACAGGATGTTTTATGTGCCTAGGTTTTCAAGAGATAGTAACTAAAGTTGTTTTCCCGTTTTTCTCAATTGCAAAGTTGCTCTCATTTTAATAAATGCCTTTTGAGGGAGAAATAATCATGTATAAAACTTACTACATTAAGGATATCATTTGTAAATTATGGTGCGATTTGAGAAAGGGAGAAATAGGAAACCAGGAGAGGATTGTATGAAGCCTAAAAAGGAAAATATTTAACAAATAAGGGGCCGTCAGTATTTTCAGTGCTGCTCAGAGGGGTGTAGATCCAGGGAGGGATATTTGGGGTTTTTGTTTATTTAAGATACAAAGTATTAAAGAATGTTTTTTGAGAGTGATACAGTAAAAGAGAAATAGATGCTAAAGCAGAGAAAACATTACAGGAGCAAGGTCAGAGAGGGTGGGACTGACAGAGAGGAAAAAACTTACCCTCCACCCTCTTATGTTCAGTCCCTGGGGACTGTGAATTAACTGACAAAATCCAGACTAACGAGAAAAAGCTTATCTCAAAAAAGAAGTAGTTCTATGAATGGTTAGAGTTACAGGTTTATATA